CCCCCCCCCCCCGAAATGCATGGAAGGCATCCAATTCTCGATTTAAATCTAATCATCAGATGAGGATGAAGACTTAGGCATTGACTGTCGTTCAGCGGAATACGAGCTGCAACAACTAGAAAGACTTCTGTCGTCCATCGAACCTTCGCTCTACCCAGCACGAGGTAAGGCACATTAGGTAGCGTGTTTATGAGAATGACAACATTCTAGTGTTAGAACCTTCGCTCTACCCACCACGAGGTAAGCCACACTAGGTAGTGTGTTTATGAGAATGACAACATTCTAGTGTTAGGGACAGACCATTAAATAATTGAGGGGGGAGGGGGGGCGGCATAAATCCCCCAAAAAATATCGAGCAAGCACTTCAAATACAAAAAATATATCCCGCAACCCGACCTCTCCTTTTATTAAAAAAATATCGAACAAAAACAATTGAGAGATCCACTGAAAGAATACATGATAATGGTTTGGCTGTTGATACCTCCTAGAAGTGATTAGTTGTGCGTGGTATATTGCTAACAAATAATAAATGATGATAGTTCTCCAGTAGTAGGTAGAGGGGGTATTTAAGAAGCCAGTGATTAATACTTGCTTTTGTTTATTTTTTCTCCTCTTGTCGCAGATCAACAAAGTTCTGACAAAAGAAGGTAAGCTATTCTTCATGGCAAATTATTCTAGTCTTGTACTTTCTTAACTTTATTGTCCACTTCTTGACCAGACCTCACGAAACAACGCCATTGAATTCATCATCTTTATCTGGTGGTAGTCTCTTGTCCAGTGGTGTCGATGTGTTGAAAACATTAGATGAAATGTCCAGAATTGAAGGTATTTAGCTCTATATGAACCCGCATTCCAAGCCAACCCTTTGGGCCTCCTGCAGACGACGCAGTGGCGGATCCAGGAATTCAATATGTTCGGCGCACATAGTTAAGGGAAGAATATTATGTTCAATCTTTGAAGTAGGGGCACAAAGTCGAACCAGGGAGGGGTGCGCACCCCCTGCACCCCTCCCCTTGACCCGCCACTGCGTAATACTGTCTAAGAGGACAGGAAGATAAGGGAGGGGGTGAGGACGATGGAGTAAATAACGGGCTCTCCAGATGAGGTATAACCCCTTAGGGAGTAATTTCATTACGCCTTTCCTTTTCTGTGTCCAGTTGTTTCTCAACCATGTATATTAGAAGCTTTTTCTTTCTAACTTTTTTTGTTTCTTTTGTTTTTTTTGTTGTTGTTTTTTTTTTCCAGGAACGATCGCAGATCTGGACACAATGGTCTCGGTGGAACTTGAAAATTTATAATGTAGCACACAAACCACGATTACATAAAAAAAACCACGGTTACATAAGCAAACAAATCAGTTGTCTAACGATAGTTTATTCCATGAATAATCTTTTGGTCATACAAACTGTTGGATGATGAAGGTTTTACTCGGTATGTGCTCATGTGGTCAAATTGTCATGGAAGTGGTTTGGTCGATACGCACTAGGTCCGTCACAAGTACTCGATATGTGATTAATGATGGCTAGTAAACACTAGCGTGGACTGCGTCGGTGTTTCTAATGAAACAGTTATCGTAGATTGATAAGTTATACACCGTAGTGAAAATAGGAACTGACGTTTCGGACGTTGGTCCTTCGTTTGACTCCGACGAAGGACTAACGTCCGAAACGTCAGTTCCTATTTTCACTACGGTGTATAACTTATCAATCTACGATATGTGGTTAAGATGCGTGGTCGGTTTGGGTCAGTTTGTCATTGAAGTAGTCTGGTCGATGTACCCAAGGTCTGTCACTTCTTGGTGTATGGTTCCTAGATGCGTGGTCGGTTTGGGTCTTTACTCAGTGGTCGATACGACTTTGTCACCTTTTGGATAATAAGAGGTCGATATGTCACTGAATTGATCTGGTCAATAGATAATACCAGATCACTACCTTAAAATGCGTGGTCACTTCTTAAAGGGCCAGTATAGTGGGTCATTGTGTGGTTCGTTTGCTTATCGTAACCCCATTGTCCTGTCTTGACATGTAACTAAAGGACTAAACATGCAAAGCATACATACATAGTTCAAGCAAAGTCCCCTGCTCATCTCCACTGTTTTAGATTGAGTTTCGTTGGCTGTCGCTGTTATCCAATTACCTTGTGTACATGCCTACAAGTAGACTTTCGCAAAGTCTGCGGCCCTTTGTGTATCTTAACTCGGGTGCGAGTTGAAATACGCTCGCCAAACTCATAGAACTCGTAAAACGTTAACCTTAAACCTGTCAGCGCTCATTCCTCTGGACTACCTAGAGACATTTGCGCCTTTGCCACGTGCATTATCTCTCTCTGGGGAGAACCCTTACTCATTACAGCACTTTCTGTGACCCGCCTTACGAAAGGCATCAGGCTTGTACCTTGACGTAGATGTGAAATTTTGTACAATTAGAATGTTTTTAGTGATAATAATTAGCAAAATATTTTGCATTTCAATATATATTTTTTATTAGATAATAGAACTCATATCCTGATATACAAATGCTGTACAATCAATATGACAATGATTGTAATTTTAGAAAATAAAATAGTTTTAAAACCAATTGTAGTGCTCTGTTATAATATTATCAGGGAGTTCAAAGTTTTCAACAGAATCTACTAATATTAATATTGATTCTTTTATTTTGGGGCGTGGGGGGGGGGGGGGGGGGGGGGGGGGGGGGGGGGGGGAAGGGAGGTAACTGAGGTTTCACCATGGTCAGCAGAACGAGATATTTTTTGACACCACTGACAACTGAATATAGCTTTTGTTTCTTCATAGTTTCGTCGCAGGAATCAATCGGTGATATCCCATTGCACCGCGTGCAATAGCATTTCGAACATGAACGCATAATTTATAACTACTATACTATGAACGCTTTTCAGTTTGAGCGTAAATGTTTTCCATTCCATACCACTTTTACGCGCTCCTGGGGCCGCTACTCAGGCTACTTCTAAGGACTTCTTTAGTACCCTCCAATCCTTCAACTTACGCAACCGATAATCCTTTGGTCTTGGTCTCCCTGTGTTGTTGTAAGTAGCTAGTTCTCAGTCCACACCAAGTAGTTGATTCAGTGGCCTTAACCTTGCATATATCTGCATAGATTATATCTCATACATGTCCTGGGAGATCGTAGAAAGACCTTCCATCCAAGAAATGGCCAAGGTGCAGGATAAAGGTAAAAACATAGACTTTTAGATTTACTACGAAGTGATCGCTGAGATCGTTCTACTTCTGATTCGAATTTTGACTCGCCACAACTCGATATAGGTTTGTTTTTGAATCAATCATAACATTCAGTGACAATCAAGCTGGATTGACCTGTTCAGGCACATCTTCTATGAAGATAAGATTCCCTGTTTATTTACGATAGTATAGTTTGGCATTACCACCCACTTTTATATAGACTTACTAGGAAGTTTATTAATACTGTACATCCTGTCACTTCACCAAAGATCACCTTGCATACTACTACAGCACGATATAGTTTACAGTACAACCCCTTGCTATAAAATCACAATGGAGAGGTTTCCTTCTCTTGAGAAGTGAAAGCTTCTTAAAATTTGATAAATTAAATTTGATAAATTTTTGACCCCCATCGAGAGATTACTTCAAGGGTTGAGGTTTCTATGTGTGTAATATGATCCAATGCAATTTATTATAATCATTATTTCTGTTTGTTTCATCAAATTACAATCATTGATTGACAGGTCTAATGGGGTGTCCATCCAAGACATCCTTCATCACACTAGATGGGCCTATCAATTCATTCTGTTCATCCAAAGATGGCTCACAGATAGCTGTAGCTGGAAGGAATGGTAAATTGTCATACTATAGTCAAGTAATCAATGTGTAGTCCCAGAAAATATCCATACCCCACCCACGGAGGAAATTGGAAATTCTGGTGGTGAGGGGGGTCATAAAATGAACAAAATTGGTTGTTCCTGGGGTAGGGGGGTCCTTTTACGAATTTCCTCCGTGGTGGGGGTATGGATATTCTCTTGAACTACACAATATATGAATAAAATAAAAGGGGGTTAGCTGCTTATAAACATGTAGGTTCCATATCTTGGAGTCCCTTATGTTACCTTACCTCTGGGGACCAGAGACAAGCTTTAAATTAAGTGAATTGTGAGTAACAGCCTGGTTTAAAATAACAGCAGGTCAGTCAGTAGTAGCCTGGGGAGCAGCATTTTGGGGAGGGGGAATGGGCAGGAGTCTCCCACCCCACTCCCCTTAGTGCCGCTATGCAGGCTAGTCAGAAGTTGTGATCATATCACTAGTCAAATTAGCTTTAGCTTGGTAAACATTTCTGGCTAAATATTACTGGTCAAAATGACACAGGTAAGGCAAAGTTTTGACCAGAAAAGTTCCAATTCTTACCAGACATTGTCCAATATGACTGCCTGTTATTTTAAAGTCATGAATAAATGTGTGTGGGTGAGAATTGACTAAGTAAATAAGAAAGGGAGGAAGGGAAGGAAGGAGATGGATGGATAGATGGGAAAGTGAAAGAACCATTGTATAAATGGATTTCTTGACATGATGAAATATGTTTTATTCTAAGATTGATTTCCACAAATTGATTTTTCAAACCCTTAATTTTTTTGTTTCAGTCTTCAAAATTATATCAGTAGATCAAGATCACCTACAAGAGAAAATCAATCTTCGTGTTGGTAGAATTAATTTAAACTTTAGTATCACTGATGTCCAATGGCACCCAGTGGAAGGTTTGTTCAACACTAAAATATTGATTTATAATTAAATTCTAGAAAATATTATTAAGGAATACAGTATAAAACGCACTCACATGTGTTTATACTGAACCTGATATAAACAATGCTGGGAGCTATAGAGCAAGAGAGAAGCAAGCTTAGGAACAATATTAGGCTGAGTGTTTCTCCTGCTTCTTGAGTGCTCTACAGTTCCCACAGTGTTTTTTTATCACAACAAAGAGACTTAAGAGGCTGTCTCTGTAAGAACCTCATAACCATTTTGGGTGAAAAAATAGATTTCTTTCAAACTTTGTGTGTGAGTGTGCCCTTCCAAGGTTATTTCCAAAACACATTTTGTTTT